CGATGATCAAATCGAAATGTGCCGAGTGTGGCATTACCAAAGTTTCTTTTACAGGAGGTGGGGAAAAAAAAAAGGCGGGACGCTCTTTGAGGATGTAGGGCGAACCAGCACCTCGTTGGGTGAGATGGCTGTGAAGGGGCTAGCGAACATGGCTCAGCTAGGTCTTGCAAACGCTGTCAAATCTGACTATGCAAAGAAAAAGTTCAAAAAGACGGCGAGCAAGTATGTCGATCAGGCTCTCGATGCGTTTGTTAACGATATGAGCAAAAAGATAAGAGGGGGTGGGACATCTGCGATGTACAACGCGTACGATGTAAACCAGATACTACCGATGTCGATGTATGCACCTGGTGGGGTGAATGATCCAACTCACCCTCTTTACGAAGGTGGAGCCTTCGATATTCACAAAGCGATCGGCAAACTACCGAAACCGAAATCAGGTTGGACTCTTCCAGGTCACAAGTATACCGGTCCCTACAACGATCTTGATAGTCAACTGCGTTTTGATCCAACCACAGGAGAAATTCTTGAGATCTATGACCCACCAGCAGGTCCGAGTGATGCAGTTGCAATGCAGCATGACGTTGATTACAGCGTCTGTGCAAACAAGGCAAATCCAAAAGCGTGTAAGAATGTGGCCGATCGTAAGATGGTGAAAGCACTCGATGCGATACCGTACGAACAGAGGCAGTGGGGTCATTGGCTTGCGAGAAACGTAATCAACACCAAACAGAAGCTAGGCCTGGGTGTGGGTGGAAAAAAAAATTTGACACGCAAGCCGAAGGCTGGGAAGCAAACCTAGCAGATGAGCTCCATAAACCCATCAGACGAAACTTTACAAAGCAACGCGTTATTGTGAATGGCATCGATGAGATTTGGTGCTCTGACTTGGTGGAGATGCAAAAGTTTGCAAAGTGGAATAAGGGTTACAGGTATTTGTTGATGGTGTTGGATATTTTCAGCAAGTATGGTTGGATAGTACCCCTAAAAAATAAGAAGGGTGAGAGTGTGGCAGCTGGGTTCAAACAGATATTTGCCGAGGGGCGGGTGCCAAAGAAGATGTGGACTGATAAAGGATCAGAGTACTACAATCAAAGTGTCAAAGATCTATTCAAAGCAAAAGGTGTTGAGCTGTACTCGACAGAGAATGAAGAGAAATCATCTGTGTGTGAGAGATGGAATCGTACGATCAAGAGAAAGATGTGGAAACAGTTCACCATCCAAAACAACACGGTGTACACCGACATATTGCCAAAGATTCTCGAGAAGTACAACAACACAAAACACAGATCGATCGGTATGACGCCAGTAGAGGCCTCCAAGAAAAAGAATGAGAATGCCGTCTATTTGAAACTGTATGGTGAACACCTAAAGGGTGTAGACCGGGGGTGGGAAAAACCAAAGTTTTCGGTCGGCGACCACGTTCGAATCTCCAAATTCAAGCGAAAGCTATTCGACAAGGGCTACACCCCAAATTGGTCTGAAGAGATCTTTGTTGTTGATGAGGTGCAATACACAGAGCCCATCACTTACAAGTTGAAGGATCTGCTTGGGGAAGAGATTAAAGGCACTTTCTACGAACAAGAGATGTTGAAGGCAAAGCAGAGCCTTTCGGGTCTCTTCCGCATTGAAAAGGTTATACGAAAGAAGGGTAAACAAGCTCTCGTAAAGTGGAGTGGTTATCCAGAGAAATTTAACTCGTGGGTTAATGTGAGTGAACTTCAGAAATTATGAAAAAAAATGAAAAAAAAATATCTTAAAGAAAATATGAGAAAGAAATAGATAAGAAAGATAAGATTGCAACATGGATGAACTTGAAACATATTCCAAACCTGCACTTGTTGCAAAAGCAAAAGAGATGGGGTTGCGAGGTCTATGCCTCTACAGACTCAAGAAAAAAGAATTGATTGAAATTATCAGAAATCCACCACCGTCAAAACCCTCTGCAAGATACGCTGGTGTTAAAAAAAGGGTGACACTAACACCTACTAAGTCATCACCTGACAATGATCAATCCATAGAAATGCTAGTTTTTCCAACGATATATAAAGCTTCAAAACATTTCAAAATAAATCCAGCAAGGTTTGGTTCGAAAAACGATGGGGGAGAAATAGTTATTCATGGAATGCGATACTCTCTGTCATTTGAGAGTTATACGTTGAAAAAGGATCCACCCCTATCCTGTCAAAATACTACCACCCCTACCCCGTCAAAATACCACCACCCCTACCCCATCAAAATACCACCACCCCGTCAAAAGGTCACCACCCCGTCAAAAGATTGAGTTGACAGATGACGAGTTTTCTTCACTTGATTCAAGTGAAGAAAAAAAAATAACTTAAAGAGAAAGTGAGAAAGAAAAATATGAGAAAGAGTTTTTTGAGATCAAAACTATATTTACAAGATATATATTTGCATAATGGAGAATAACACTGTTGTGCAACTTCGTCAAATCGCAAAAGATAGAGGCCTTCACGGCTATTCAAGACTTCGAAAAGATGAGCTTATCAGGCTCATTCAGTCAAGACCAAGTACTAGTAGTAGCAGTAGTAATGCTAGCACTGCTAGTACTTCCAAGAAAGGAGATTCGAAGAGAGCAAAACGCGAGAAGCGTGAGACGCGAAAAGCGTGGAGTGGGATAAGAAAAGAAGAGTGGGAAAAATGGTTAAATGATCAAACTGAGAAGGTTGAGAAACTTGAGAAGGTTGCTACTTTCAATAAGAAGGGGGCTTCGAAGAGAGTTGATGGACGACCTCTGCTCGACCTTCCAATTCCTAAACAAAGACAAAACAACGCTGATTCACCCCCTAGATCTGACAACCTGCTTGATGATTTGGTTCCTGAACATGGGCAGAAAATCTTAAAACCAGCAAAGCTTGTGAAAAAAATCGAGAAGGCTGTTGATTGGGGAAAAAAAGAAGGTAGAAGATTGGGGTTAGTGGTTGAAGGGGGTAGCAAACACGCCGCGAGCAGTCGATGACAAGTTGAAAGATTTCAAACAATATATCAATGAACTCTACAAGAAAAGTAACAATGTTTCATCTTTCAAACTTGTTGAGAGAAAGTCTTCAGTGAAACGGTTTTTAAAGACGTACACGATTGATGGGGTGGGGGGTTATGGACCAGAATATTTTCTCGAGGTTGTAAAACCAATCGTTATCAACTTTTTGAATACACAGAAAAATATCAAGATAGACTTTGTTTTTAGGTGTGAGATGAAAAAGAAAAATAATATTACGGGTGAGGATGAGATATTGTCTACATATTTTTTATCTTCACAACATATCGTCTTTGATGGGAGTGATCGAGAAAAAATTTATCAAAAAAGTGTGGAGAAAATGATGGAGAGTATGGCTAAGTTTTTAAGAAATGGAAGTCAGTGGGCTTTTAATCGTGTTGAGAGGTTAGATTTGCGTATTGTTAATAAGTACACTCCTGTGAAAGGCTCTTCTTATATCAAGCTACCAAAACATCTTGCGAAAAAGATGGCTATCATAAACATGCAGAACGAGGATGAGGAGTGCTTCAAATGGTGTGTCACGAGAGCTTTGTATCCTGTTCGAAGTCATCCTGAGCGTATCACAAAGATTTTGAGAAACCAGACATCCCATCTCGTGTGGGATGACATTAAGTTTCCAATGGAGGTGAAGAGCATTCACCGCTTTGAAAAGTTGAATCCAGGGATCACTGTCAACGTTTATATGTATGATGGTGGGCTCAGCCCCTTGAGAGTGAGCAACGAAGGTCAAGATCCTAGCAAGACTCATATTGATCTCCTTCTCATTACTGAAGGTGACAAGAAGCATTATTGTCTCATCAAAAATTTGAGTCGGCTCGTTTCGAGTAGTCTGTCGAAAGATGGACATAAGAAGTTTTTCTGTAGGAGGTGTCTTAATTATTTAGGTTCTCAGCGAGTTCTTGATACGCACAGTGAGTTGTGTCAAAATCATGAGGCTGTGAGAGATAAGATGCCGAAAGAGGGTCCTTGTCTCTCTTTTAAGAATTTTCAGAAGCAGATGAACATGCCGTTCGTCATCTATGCAGACTTTGAGTCGTTAATCAAACCTTTAGACACCGTTCAAGCAAATCCAGCAGGGTGTTACACTGAGAAAAAACAACAACACAAACCAATAAGTTTCTGTTACTACATCAAATGCTCATTTGACGATAGATATTCAAAACGGGTTGAATACACAGCCAAGTTTGAGGATGAAGATGTGGCTCAAACATTCGTTGAAGCGCTTGAAGCAGAGGTTAAGAGCATATACAAAAACCATCCCAAAAAGGAGATGATCTTAACAGACAGTGATGTTGTTGCATTTAAAAACGCAACATGTTGTTGGTTGTGTGGAGAAGATTTCAAAGAGGGGGAGGACAAAGTGCGCGATCACTGCCATTACACCGGTAAATTTCGAGGGGCTGCACATAACGGTTGTAATCTCAAATACCGACGACCAAAATTCATACCCGTCGTCTTTCATAACTTAGCAAACTATGACGCTCATCTATTCGTTAGAAATCTTGGTGTTTCAGAAGGAGACATTGATTGCATACCAAACAACGAAGAGAAATACATTAGCTTTACAAAACACGTTGTGGTTGATAAGTTTTTTAACAAAGAGGAAGAAAAAGACGTTGTTGTCAAGAGAGAGTTGAGGTTCATTGACAGTTTCAAATTCATGGCTTCCAGTCTTGACAAGCTTGTCAATAACCTTGTCAAAAAGGGTGAGTCTTTCTTCGAAAATACAGGAAAATATTATTCTGGAGAGAAGCTTAAACTGTTGATGCGAAAGGGTGTTTATCCTTATGAATGGGTGGATTCGATACACAAGCTTGATGAACCACAACTTCCACCGAAAGAATCTTTCTTCTCCGTGTTAAGTGGTAAAGCGATCTCGGATGAAGACTATACCCATGCGCAAATGGTGTGGAAAGCCTTTGGATGTAAGACATTCCGAGATTATCACAATCTCTACAATCGAAGTGATGTTCTTTTACTAGCTGATGTGTTTGAAAACTTTCGAAAACTTTGTAAAAATATCTACAAACTTGATCCTTGTTGGTACTACACCGCACCGGGTTTGGCTTGGGATGCTTGTCTCAAGTTGACTAAAATACAACTTGAGTTGTTGAGTGATATAAATATGTTGCACATGTTTGAGGCCGGTATTCGCGGTGGTGTTAGTATGATTCCAACAAGACATTCAAAAGCCAACAACAAATATATGGGTGAAAAGTTTGATCGTAAGCAACCTTCAAAGTTCATCACATATCTCGATGCGAATAATTTATATGGTTGGGCAATGAGTAAAAATCTACCAACAGGAGGTTTTGAATGGGTAAACGAGAAAGATTT